GGAATAGATAGAGTGAGAGAAAAAAAAGCAAGCACAAAAAAGAGGAGTTTTGAAATAATTCATCAGCAGCTCCTTTTTTCTCTACGTAACTTTTTCATATATGCTTACTGCTTAGTGAAAGTCTTTATCCCACTGTGATTGTCAAAATAGATTTTTTCCCCCTTATCCCTTTTCTCTCCTTTCCTTCGTGTTCTAGAAGATTGGAAGATTTGTGGGTGCAAGCTGAAAAAAAGGTCAGGATAACTCCTGCAAAAAATAATTTGCATTGAGTGAAATTCTTGATAAACAATATTGCTAGGCTATTCTGGAAAAAAAAACTGGTTTTGAAGGGTGGCACGTGCATTTTAACATTTTAATTTATGTATACATGACTGTTAATTCATAAGCAAATTTGATCTTTACAAATGAGACCCATGTATTTTTTAAAAAAACTATTCCGTTTTCGCGCCGAAAATAATTAGCTTTCTTTTTGATATCTTTTTATATCAAGAACATATTAAATATGTTCTCTTGATGGCAGTATTGGAAAGCAGAATGATTATATAGGATTCTCTCTCTTTGGTGTCTTATTTATCTGGTAGTGTTAAAGAAACTGGTACAAGTGATAGCAAATATGTGCAAAAAACTGTTTGTTTGGGATTCTCGATTTGTTTTTGAATCTATAAAAGTGTCAAAGGATAGGAGAGCCTTGTTAACTTTCCAGCAATGTAAACATGTTGTAACATTTTCAGGCAGTATCCTTCAAACTATTTTGAGGGATAGCCTCATATTCGTGACAGTACAAAATTTGGTACTAAATTGCTGCTGTGTTAAAATTCCCCTTTGATTTCAGTTTCACAAAGAATGAGTTCAAATTGGAAAAATCCATATTTTTGGATGATAATAAATGACTTCCATTCTCTGCATTCATATACCTGTCATGAGATACACAAATCACGTATGATTTTAATCTAAACAATAGCATTTAGCTTACCATTGTGCTATTATTGTGTTATTGTTACTCATTATTATATTTTGTTATATTGTTCATTTTTAAGCTTGTGTTTAAGTTGTGATTGTGAAATACATAAATTGCTAACAAAATAAAATAAAAAACCTCCACTTTCTCCCAAGACTGTTAGAAATTTTTTTAAGGATATTTAACTGACCTTGACTTATTTATGACTGAAAGCCTTGTTTCTTGTCCTGTATTATGGAACAACTCTGAATTATTTCCTCCTTAGGGAACAACTATGAATTATTTCCTCCTCCATCCCTTACTCAAAACTTTATTCTTTGTAACAATCTATTGCAGTAAACAGAGCTTTTCCGTTTCAGTTTTAGTGAACATGTATATTTCTCACTGAGAGATACACTGTAGAGCAGCTTCTCCCAATTTAATGTTTCTTCAAGATATGTAGAACTATAATCCTGATCATCTACATGCTAAGCAAAGCTGATGGCAGTTAGAATCTAATAAATGTGGAAAACAGCAATTTGTGGGAAATACAGGCTTTCGTGTATTCTTTTCAGATAAGGGACAGACATTAAACAGCCTTTTGCGTGTTAGCATATGGTAACCATAGATTTTTGTACGTAAATTCAAAATAGGTGGCATCACCATAATTTCCCTTGGATTAAAATACCATTTTTATCTGCATGTATGGTAACTAGTCTTACAGTAGTTTCCTCTACCTCATTTTGAAAGTCATCCATGTGTTTAGAGCATTTTTAAAACTCATTTTACAGGCTAACACAGGGGTGTCAAACTGGCGGCCCGTGGGCCAGATGCGTCAGGCACAGGCCACGCCGACTCCTGCTCCGCAAAGGCAAAAAACATCACAATACATCACGATACATCACATGACGCAATCGAGTTTGACACCCATGGGCTAACACAACAAACATCACTTTCGTGTCAATGTTATCGTCTGCTTTAACAAAATGCTGCCAATCCTAATATGGTAAAAGTAGGCCAATTAAATCAAAGGAAAGCAGATGTTTCTTATATAGAAGATACTTCCTTTTATTTATATATTCCAGATACTAAATTATTCAGGCTAGGTAAATAAATGAATAAAGTTACAAGCTTTACAAGCTTTCTCTAACTCTAGTGTGTAAATAAGTTGTAATGTTTCTAATTCAGGGAATGATAACATTGGAATGTGTGATGACCAAAACATGATATGTTGTATATTAGAGAGATAAGTTTCATAATCCGATCCACAATTGAAATAATGTTGCTTGACATTGAATGAGTACAGTGCTTCGGCAAGAAAGAGAACATTCCCATCCTTGTGCTTATAGGGGGGAAAATAGGAACTTGCAACTTTTCTGTCTTTCCCCTAGCAGAAGGCATTCTCATGTAATTCCATTTATTATATTCATTTAGTTTCTTTAAAAAAATAACCTTAAAAAAAAGACCTTAAAAGTTCTATTGTTGAACATTCACAATAGAAATTGAACAAGTTTGGAAATGGTTACATATTATATGAAACTATATAAATATAAAGTGTATACCAATACCGTTATTTTGAAGCATAAAGGAAAAACTATAGGTCTTTGATGTAGTTAAGGCATCAGGCTAGAAACTGGAGACTGAGTTCTTTTACTACTTTTGCACAAAGCCAGCTCAGTCCTAAAAAGCAAGCAATGGCAAATCTCTTCTGAAAAATCTTGCCCAGAAAACTGCAGGGACTAATCTCGACAGTCACCAGGAGTCAATACTGACGCAAAGGAACAAAAGAAAAAAGAAAAAGTGAAAATAAAAGAGAATTTAAATGTAGGTATGTTATTTCACATAAAAATGACAGTTTTGTCTTATTTTCTATAATTTAATACAATTTTGATACAATTTAACTAACTTTAAAACTTAAAAACTGCTCTTAACAGGAATTTAGTTAATAGTCTCTGTACAAAAGTGGAAATCAAGTTTTATACCTAAGAAAAATTGTATGCATTTATAACATCCCCAAACAAGCCTTAGGAAATTGCTTTTAAAGAACCATTATTCTTTCAAGTTGACTTCACTTGTACATTTGTTATTGTTTTTGCTTCTGTTGTTATTTTACTGATTAGCAGGAAAAGTTACCTATATTTAACTGTATTAACAATCTTCTGGAAAAGTCTGGAAATCTTGTAAGTGAAGCTGCTCCAAAACAATTGCTCAAATTATTCAAATTCTTCTTCTTTACTCTTTTGTTGAAGAAAAAATACTACTGCAAATGCTGACAAACAACACAGATAGCAACTAATTCTATAATGTAAATTTCCATTCCAAAAGTAATAATAATAGAACAAATCATATATTAATATTCCAAATCCTGATTGGCCTCTACATTAACAGAGCAATTGCAACTATTTGTTATTAATAATTTCCTGAAAAGTCTAGTAAATCCCATACCAAAAATGTGTGCTATATTAGTTTTATTTTATTAACTAATTTCACTTTCTTCAAAGCAACCTTCCACTAGGGCAGGGGTAGGCAACCTTGGCTCTTTTATGACTCGTGGACTTCAACTCCCAGAATTCCTGAGCCAGCTGTGCTGGCTCAGGAATTCTGGGAGTTGAAGTCCACGAGTCATAAAAGAGCCAAGGTTGCCTACCCCTGCACTAGGGTATAAGAATCATACATTTCAGTTTGTTTCCAGTTTAGCATCTTCATAGAGAGCTGCTTCTGAGATGAATGAAAAGAAAATGCAAATCAGTACTTTAAGGTACAAATATATAGCTTTTTAACACACATACACACACTTTTTTTTTCTTCTGTTCAATCATATCCAGTTCTTAGGGTCTGCCTGAAGAAGTTTCCACAGTTTTCTTGGCAAGTTTTTCAGAACTGGTTCTCCATTGCTTCCTTTCTACGGCTAAGGGAAAGTGACTGGCCCAAGGTCATCCAGCTGGATTTTTTGCCTAAGGCAGAACTAGAACTCACGGTCTCCCTGTTTCTAGCAACTTAAATTTTTGTTATAATGATAATTATAAATATATATTATAATTATTAAAATAATTATAAACCAATTCCCAAAATGAACAATTTTGGATCAAGAATTATAGAATTAGTGTCAGAACAGTAAGGAAAGAAAATGTGGGCTAAAATACAAGACCAGTAGATAGCAAAATTAAAGTGAAATTATTAAAAGAAGCCACTCAATAATAGACATTGTCCTGAATGTTTCAAAATATATCAGGAAGCATGGGACTTCAGTTATTCAAATTTGAATACTGTTTTTAAAATATAAGCTTGTATATACCATCTTTTTTCCAACATATTTTATAGAAATATCTATCAATCTGTCAATCTATGTATCTCCAAATCATTTGGCTGCATTTTCAATAGTTTTAACATTCATAGGCAAAATAATTAAGTATAAGCAATATATTTTAAGGAAAGTATATAACTTCACTTCAGAACCAAGCTTATATTAGATATTATTCCAAAACATCTATGAATGGGGGCTACTGTATTTGGATTGCAAAAATCCCGGCAACCAATAGACAACAGCAGAAATAAATAGAAAACCCCAATTCTCTTCTCTCTATAGATGTAAATCTGATTTGAACATCCCAGGTTTGGTAGCCCTTGTCTTCTTTAGTGCTACAAATTCTACTTTCTAATTTACTGGACAGTGCAGTATTGTTGATATCTTCAAGTGTCGGCAAGAAAACTGCTAGTCCAGTTGCTTGGCTTGATTGCAGCAGCAGCAGTGATCTTGCCGTAAGCTCGCTTGCCGCTTGTTCAAATTGGCAACTTCACCCCAAGCTGATAGGAGCAGCAGACATTTTTGCTGACTGGAGTCAGGCTATCTTTTCCAGTTTGCTGGAATAGACACAGACACTGATTGGGTCATGCTGAAAACATTCCAGTCCCATGAAGCAAGTCGGTTTGTATTTTAGGTTTGGCAGGACTAATGAATTAAACATCTTGGCCTCCAGACAATTGGCTACTTTAATACGGTTCCTGAAAAAAGGGGGGGGGGTGCTCAGGAAGCATGACAATGCTGTAATCTTTCATTGCTGGGAAGGGAAGGGACTGTGGAATTGGGACGGAAGACAGAAAAGGGTGGTCCTGATGGTGTAAAAAGCCTGTGGGAAGTGCAGGTAGCAGCATGTTGTCCTGACAGCTGTTTCAACTTCTCAGACCTTGTCAGTTCACTGCTATGTAGCAGGTGCAGCCTTTTCTTTTCCTGAATCTTTACTCCATAAAGGCAACAACAAGTCAAGGCAGAGGCTGGCCCTGGATTTATACAAGTGCAGACACCACTAAGTGAGGTAAGGCAACAGGTGTGAAAACTGGACTAACTGATTGAGTTGTAACCACACTCGGGTTCGGGAGCTGAAGTTTCTTAGATATAAGCAAAGTGCATGCAGATTCACAGATAAGCCAACTAAAGAGCTGTTTCCTAGATGACTATTTTAGACAAAGAATACAATAATCAAAGCTGTCTGTCTTACACAAAAGAAAAGATCAAGGTGTATGCTTGAAGCAGTTTTATTTAGTTCAGTTTAGATGATACATGCACATTATATCTTTGTTCTGATATTTTTATAGCTTCCTTTTGCTTTATTTTTCTAAGAGGAAAACCTCTTGGATATATGCTAAAATGAGAGAAAAATACATCTGTATTGAACGGATCTCTCTGGAAAGCTTAAAAATGGATATTTGAAAATTATTTTATGGGTTTGTTAAAAAAAAGAACTTGGTACACTTTATTTCAAGTTTCTGGCTAAAATATTTGTACTTTTTTAACCAGTTAATAGCATAATCTTTTCTAAAAATTAATGTCATTAAAAATAGAATTCATGTGTTTTTAATATGTAGTAGTTCGTGCTTTTTTTACTTTTTGGCAAGTCACATAATTAATGGAATAAATTAGACCCTACATTTGTAGCATCACTGAAGCTTTCATCTGTGATATGAAGTCAAAAACTAGACTTTGTACTCAGTGAATAGGAAAGCAAAACATAATTGTATTTTTTCTAATCTAAAAATGATATATGAGGTTTTCTTTTCACAGTTTGAAGTCTAGTACTGTATTTCAGACAAACCATTAATCCAAATTTTGTTTATATAATTTTATCTAAAGTATGACAGAATTCATATATTTATTTGAATTTTATTTTATTTGAAAGGCTAGCAGATATAAAATTTTGCCAAACTATTTTCAGAATCAAGCGGATCTAAAACTGTACTATTTAGCATCTTTATCTGATTTAGGTATTAATATTCCAGTACCCAACATACATGGGCAGCAAAAGTTCAGAAACCAGCTAGTGGCACAAAGAGATATAGAACACTAACTTTTGCTTTCCATGTAGCATCAGCCTGGATTTTTTGTAACTGAAGTATAGTAGCCTTATCAGTATTTGAAGAAAAAAAAAGGGGTGGGGCATCAGCAAGCTACTTTAAAAGCATTTTACCACTTCTTGTTTGCTAGGCACAAAAAAGTTTAGCTTGAGACAGTACAATAATATGTATTCTGTTATATTATGGAGTATAATAAACTATGAGATAATTTCTATAGTGGAAAAATGTCAAATGTATTAGTTCTCCAGTACCTACAAATTACATTAGTATATTATCCTCAATTGAATGACAAAGATTCCTGGATTAAGAATATAATTAATTATTTCTTTTCACAATCAGAATTCAAGATATATTGGAAATTATATATACATTGGCCAACAAGTAAAAAGAGTGTCATGCTGAATTTAAATTCAGTTTACATCTCACCAATAAACCAGTTTTAATTCTGTTTTGTACTTTTACTTGTATAGTTAAAACCTGCTCCATGAAGAGTTGTCTGTTACTATAACAATAGCTATCTTATCTGAGCTGAAAAGGAATACAGAAAACTCTAATTATGGACTGTTATTTTTAGCTATTGAGACTTTTTTAGACTTATTCTTTAAAACTGTAGAGAATGCTACACACAATTATATTCTGACACCCATGAAATTGCAATGGCCTGGTCAGCACAGATTTTGCAGAAAAAAAGCTTGCACTTATGGATATAAAAGCATACTTGATATTTAATGATAGGAGCAATATAGAGAGTAATATATCTAAGGCATTTTTTTACACAACAATTATAGCAGTACCAATTGTCTGTATGACACAGTTTCCAAGACAAGTTTAAACTAAAATTAAGTTGTTGCATTTTTAAATTGTATCTCAAAAACTCTCCCTCCCTCCCCCACCCCAAAATATTTTGGGATTTATTTAAAGATCTGGTCTTTTCCATATCCTTCTCCTTTCCTGGAAAACAGTACGTCTTGACATCAAGATAAAAGTGTAATTTTTCAACCCCATTCTTTTCAGATCCAGGAAACCTCACCACTTTGGAAGTGCTTCTTGTCTTATGTGGTTGGAGTGTTCCTGGAGCTGCCTGATCTGGCAACTGTGATATTTGCTCTAGTCATTTGCCATTACAATTATAACAAGGTGCCCCCTGGGGATGTCTTAAAAGAGATTGGGAAATTACAGCAGATTCAAAATGCAGCAGCAAGACTCTTCTCAGGTATGTCTTGGTGAGAGCATATTATACCTATCTGCCTAAGCTGCATTGGCTCCCAACTGATTTCAAGAACAAATTCAGTGTGCTTGTTATTATTATAGTATAAACAGGGCTTTTTTTCTCATAGAACGGCCAGAATGGAGTTCTGGCACCTTTTTTGGATGGAACCTTGTAGGGTAGGCAAGGCAGGTTGTATGACATGTGTGAGTTCCCACACCTTTTTTTTTTTTTTTTAAAGAAAAAAAGCACTGAGTATAAACCCTTAAACAGCTTGGAGTCTGCCTAGCCTGTAGAACAGTTCCCCCCCCCCCCATAATGGTGGTCTGAGATCTATGGTCTTCAGAGCAAAGTGCTGCCTCAGAAGGCTGTAAGATTTGGAGACCATCATTACACGATCAGTCTCCCTTTAGGTTTACTTTGTGGGAAGCACTGCAGAATATAGTTCTGTTAAATAAATAAGTAGATATTACAGACCAGTCTGAATTTCAAAGCATCAGATAAGGTGTAAAGGCTGCAGTATAAACTCACTCAGTTGCATATACATGTACATCTGACAGATGGAAAGAGATAGAATGTACATGCAACTGAGTGAGTTTATTTTGGACCGAATTTTGTTTAGGAATTAAAACTGGAAGAGTGTACTGCCATCACTTTACAAGATCATTACCACTTTCAAAGTAAAATTACAATACGACGAGTGGATAAATGATCTAGTATTAGAGATTTCCCTACCTCCATTGTTTCCAGTTGTACTTTGTTTTGTGTTTTGTGCAGACAATCTGTTGAATCAAGAGCGGGCAGCAAAAAATGCTCTCTAGGCTTTCTCTTCATCACCTGCGACCAAGCTAAATAACTTTCTTTTAAAAACAGAAGTCCAGGGAAATGGATTGTGGAGAAGGAATAGTTGGGCACCTGCCCATCTGTTTGAAGGATATGCCTGTGGAGGGAGAACAAGGAGATACTTAGACTGGACTTTTTTTTAGAGCTTTCAAGAACTATGGTTATCTCTAACAATCAACATATGGTTTACTGCTAGAGCATTTTCATTTCATGACAGTGTAGCCAGGAATGAATATCAATTGAAGATACCTGTGCAGGAAAAGCTTTAGGCTACTTCCAGATAGTCAGTTTCTTGTGATGCCAATCAAAAAGTCATTTAGCACATGTGTTCTCTCTCTCTCTCTCTCTCTCTCTCTCTCTCTCTCACACACACACACACACACACACACACGCACACACACACACACACACACACACAAAAACCAGAATTTCCATTGTACGTTGCTGTGGTTGTAAGTCAAGTCTGACCCAATTTTATGACAATTTTTCAAAGGTCATTAAGCAAATCATATGGTCATTAAGTGAATCCAGCTTCTGCAATGGGCGCTTTTTTTTTGCTGGAAATCAGCAAAAATGTTGCATATTGTGACCACATGAGTACAGGATGCTGCAATCGGTCATAAATGCAAGCTAGTTGCCAAGCGCTCCAACTGCAATCACATGAACGTGGCATGGTGTGACGGTCATAAATGAAAGCACAAGTTGTAAATCCTTTCTTTGAAGGTTGTTGTAACACTGAACCGTTGTTAAACAGTCATAAGTCAAGGACTATCTGTAAGCTTCCCTAAAATGTCATGACACTGTCCAGCAGTAGTTAAAATAAAAGGTGTGGCTCTAGTTAGGAGTTGGGAAGAAGTTATTTTTACTATAAGTCACTGCTGGAATATGAATTATAATTAACCTTATTGACATTGTATAAAAAGTGGTGTTAGTCTATGGTAGCGCAAAATCAGATGGATTTGGTAGCTTTTTTTGGAATAATTTTTATTAAAAAGGATGTGTTTTCGTGAACTATAATTCACTTCATCAGAATGATTCTGTGGCTTCCTACATCTTGTATTAAAGTAACCATGATGAACTTCAATGAAAGTGCATAATTTACATAGGAATTAAAGGCTGTGATTACAGCTTACCCACAGATCAGCCTAACCTAGTAACCTAATTTTTGGAATGGTGTTCCAGAAAAGCTATGCTAGCTGTCTGCATAGTATAGAGTAGGTTTGAAATGTCATAAGCTTTTTGTTTAGCAAGCTCCTATCATTTAGAACTGATACAAGTTAGTTGTTCTCATGCAATCTGTTAGCCTGTTTATCTATTATAGTTGCATCTATTTACATGCATACCCATAATACTATTCCCTTTTGGGAACGTTATGCAAACTACAGAAATGTATTAAGAAATAGAAAGTCACTTTCTCAAAGGACATAAGAAAAAGTTACATCAATACCATCCACACTGCCCATTTCCATTTTGCCCTTGATTCTACCACATTCTATCATGAAAGTCAGTATAACAGCTGCTGGGTTGCATTCATTGACTCAGATTACACTTTGTGCTAAACTAAACTATGGTGGTTTGTTTTAATCCTTGCTTCCATTGTAGAGTTAAAGTTAAAGCAAGTCCGTTGCATCAGCACAATGATTCATACAGAAAGTCTTTTCTTAAAAAAAGGAAACACATATTCATAGACAGAAAACTAAAAATTTAAAAAGCATAATTCACAGAATTTGATGAGATCAGCATTTCCATTTAATTCAAATACTTGTATTAGAATTATATCTGTCGCAGTCACTTGATACAGCAGTCTAATTAACAGTTGCTGGAGACAACTGCTTTATTCTGCCTAATGATAGGCTAATCTAGAAAACAAAAGTCTGATCCATTTGTCTTTAATTTTGTAAAAAAAAATAAATAAATACCAAGGGTCATTGTGGGAGGAAGGGACAGACTTGTCTAAACCAATAAAAATTGCTGATGATCATCACACCCAACACAATTCTATAACTTGCTCTGCATTTCTGTAGAGCATGTCAAATATTTAAATAGACCCTCTTATCAAAGCAAGCCTGTTTTGCATTTTAAAATCTCTCTACTTTGCATTTGAATATGACCAAGTATTATGGGACCATAATTTCTTTAGGGAAAATGAAGAGAGCATCTGAAATTGTTGAAAAATCTGGATGGAAATCTTTAGTTGAACATCATTTAAAACATGTTATAGGAGCATCAATGAATTTGCATGACCTATAAAAATTTGCTATTTTATTCTCTAGGTGAAACATACAACTAGACGCATAGGTTCGAGTGCCCACATGATCACCACAGCAAGGGTACCTGCTGATAAAAGGATACGAATTGCCTTCAGTCTAAATGATTCCCCAGGTAATAGTCAGTCTATGGAAATATTCTTTCACTTGCCTTTGTTTCTTCCAATTATACTGTCTTTACTCTTCAAGGGAGTACTTGATTTTTCTTAGGTGGCTGAAATTATTTGCTTTGTTTTTCTTTCTAAAACATGGGGACAGTATTCGGGATGTTTAAGATGTTTCCTGTAGTATTATTTAAAACATATTCAACTCTAAATTTTCTGAAATGTTTAAATGTGTACTTTTTAACCACTATTTTTTTAAAAAGACAGGATCAATCTCAGTACTTAAAATATATCATTTTCATTCAAGCCCAAAAATCCCTTTACTGGAATGTCCAATACCTGCTTTATGTGCAACTTCGACTAATTTTCATATTCATTACCTCATAGAAAGAATTGTTGAGGATAAATCCTGTAAGGAAGGCCAAGCTGATAAACACCCCAGGATTATCTGGAGAGTCCCATGCTTGAAAGTGGAATTTGCAAGTAGCCTAAATCCAACTTTCAGACAGAACTCCTTTCTAGACATTGACTTATTTAAAAAAGACAGTTGAAGTAAAAATAAACTGTGTGAATTGTACCAATGAAAAAGCTTGTAGAAGGTATTTTAGGAAGACGTTATGAATAATAAAAGCAAACCATTCAGAATCCTATGTATGATTAGAAGTAAGTTAGGAGTACCTAATTTGAACTGCTACTATTTGAACTACCCCTACAGGGCAATAAAAATAGTCACAGAACTCTTAACTCTTTGTTGCCCCCTGGTAATTTAGTTTAAGCGGTCCAGATGCCCTAAATAGTTGGTAAGATTTGACTCTCTAATAAGAGAGTTTAAGATTTAAGCATTAATGTAAATGGTTGGCAGTAAATTTGGTAGTGTTTTCTGCCATCAACCTTCCTGCCTTTAACCATTCCATGAAGTAGCAACTCAGCACTGAAAAAATTGCCTGTTGTAGAAAGATGGTCACATGTTGGACCTCTTTTTTGACAAAAAGAGCAACATGTGCCAGGGAATTGCCATCCACTCATCTATTTCATTTCCCTTGGATTCAGTTGGCACCATGATTAAACTCCACAGGGGTAATATCTGTTCTGACTTGTGGAACTAGGGCTCTCTTCTAACGGAACATTATATATATTTTTATCATTTTCAGGAAGATAGTTGTTAACACATCACTATACTTTAAATCAGTTATGATTCCTGCTCAGATATGATTACTATTGATTCATAAACAAAAAAGTAAAAACTTTTTGTATTAGTTCTTCTGTTATATCTAATGTATCTTAAATCATAACAATATTCCATGCTTAATCAAGGAGACCCCAGATTTATGTAATTATCTTCCGTCAAGGAAAAAAAAATCCTCCCAGGCATGTGCTCACTTAAAACATTTATCAATGTATGTGTTAAAGAAAGGTGAAATTGAACAGGGACGCAATAGCTCAGCGGTTAAATACACTGAGCTTGTCAACTGGAAAGCTGACAGCCCAGGTTCATGAATGTGGCATGATGGGGTGGGCTCCCATTACTTGCCCCATCTCCTTCCTATATAGCAGTTTGAAAGCATGCAAATTAGAGTAGATAAATAGGTACCTCTTTGGTGGGAAGGAAACAGCGTTCTGTGTGGCTGGGCACATATTCATGCTGGGCACATAACCATGGAAGTGTTTTTGGACAACACTGGCTCCCTTGGCTAAAAAACAGAGATGAGCACCATCCCCTAGACTCAGACACGACTGGATAGGAGAAACCATTACCTTTATCTTTTGAATAGGATTTCAAATATTCATTTGTCATTCAGCAAGGATAACATATTTTTCTTATATTCTCTCATACACAAAAGTGTCTATATATTAATGCAAATATATATTGATTTATCATATTCCTACTCTTACCAATTATTTTAGCTAGGACTAGATCTCCAATAGGAAAAAAATAAAAGTTATATTATGCAGCAGTTGCTGACAGATGCAGCAAGATATTGGAGAGGACGCTTCTGTGCCAAGAAGCTTGCTTTGCATGCTAGCTTCTTGGTCCCAGCCATCACCTGTGCTGAAAACAAATTCAAATGTCATACAGATAGTCCTTGATTTACAATCTCAATTGGGACTGGAACTTCCATCACTAAATGATATGGTCATGCTCAATTTTACAACCTTTTTTGTTGCTGTCATTAAGTGAAACTGGTTTTCCCGTTGACTTTGTTTGTTGGAAGTCATCTGGGAAGGTTGCAGATGGTGATCACATGACTCTGCAGCTGTTATAAATACATGCCAATTGCCAAGCACTCAGATTTTGGCCATAGGATCATGGAATCACTGTGAAGATTGTAAGTACAAGGACCATCATAAAGTCACTTTTTTTTAGCCCCACTTTAACTTTGAACAATCATGAATGGTAAGTCAAGGACTACCTGTAGGGATATCAAGGTTAAATTCTGATAGAAATAGAGCTTTGAATAAACAAGCCATACTCAAACATAAAACTTATACAAATACATGCAGAACAGAAGCTCTGTCAGTACTTAGTCCAAACATTACTGCGTGTTTTGTTTTAATAAGCCAGTTTTGGGATTGTCTAAGAAAACAGAGCAGGTGAGATAGTGATTCAGCTTTACAAGTGCAAGTTAGGTTACAGCAGGGGTGTCAAACTTGCCTTGTCACATGACCTGTCACGATGTATCATGACTTTTTCCCCCTTCCACATGATGCATCCGGCCCATGGGCCGGCAGTTTGGCACCTCTGGGTTACAGGTATAAAACTGGAGGCCTGCCTAACCATAATCCTGGCTTTGCTCATTATTTCTCTTGTGCAGGCCAAGCCAGAACTGTCATTACTTGCTGCTATAGGCTTTCCTTGGGTAATTTAGCTATTGACTTGTGTAGGCAAAGCAGGGATAAATTATGGCAGAGACTTTGTTCACATGTGCAAGTTGCCCAAAACCCAACAACCCCCTCAAATTACAGCTTAGTAGGGATTTGTGGTCCACTGTTTGAAAATCCCTAGCTTAGCATGTTGGGTGGAGTAAGTATTGTCTCTGGGTGTCTGTCATAATGCAATTTCCTATGTGTCATTTTTCCACATTAGTGATTAATTCTATAATACTTAGATTGGAAAAACTAAAAAGCAAACCTCAAAATAAGTTTTTTTATTAAAAAAAACCCAGCTAATTGGCCTTATAGCTTTTGAAAGTATCAAAACAATGGTATACAATATTACCATCAGTGCATTAAAAATGTTTTTTTTTGTGCTATTGAGGTATCTGTCTATGAAGTTTACAAGTAAGCAGTGTATATCTGCTTAAAAGAAAAGGTTGCTACTTCATATTTGTATGAAATGGGTAAAGAAGTTTGGACTGATAGGATGGAGGACTGATTTGAGATTTGAATGGGAGGCCCTTAACATTTATAAAAGATATAAATTACAGAAGCTTTTTCTGGGTAGCACATCTTGTGGCATGTTCCTCAGATTGCCAAAACAACCCTTAGTTAGTCCTATACAATTTTGATCCTGTGTCTTTGTTGAAGCATTTGACAATTACCAGTCAAACATTATTACAGCAGCTGTCCCATTAAGGAGATTGAGTCATGCTTCTTAGTTCCTTTTGGCTTTTCTATGATTCATCTTTCTTCTTTTAGAACAATGGTCTTTCTTTAACAAAAAAACAAACTGTAGGAGGCTACTGGCATGTAAAGCAAAATATGTGCATTCAAGGATGAAAGTATGTAAAGCCTAAACACTTTTGAATATTTTTGTTGAGATACAGACAGAGATAACATTAATTTTGCATAAGCCATTAACATGCATTTTTGTTGTGGCTGTTTTTCAATGGTTGCTTCAGGGACAGGGAAGATAAAATTGAGTGTTTCCTCAACTACCATCATCTCAGTGCAAATGTTTTACATCTGCTTTATTAGCCACAAGTTTTCATCTGTGGCTAATAGGAACCAGGGGATTTGATTTTCATAAGATTATAATAGAGAGGAAAAAAGCAAATCTTTGTCTTCATTTACCATTCTTCTCTCATATTATATTTAAATGTTTGATAATATACATATTGTATATTAATTTGTTAGATTTACATTCTGCCCTTCTTGAAATAGAGCACATAGTTGTCTTTTCTTTAATTTGTCCCCAGAAGATTTGGGCTGAGAAGAGTTATTAGTGTAAAGTCAGCAAGTGAGAGGAATGGTGAACTTGAACCTGAAGCTTCTTGTCCTTGAGCCATATCTTAACCATGGCACTACAACTATTATTTGCATTTTAACTAGAGTTACCCTATTGGAACTGCAAAAAAAAAGAAGAAGAACCATTAGTTAAAAGCAAAGACAGTGTTTAATATATTATTTTTGTGCTGTTTAGTTGTTGCTATATTTTAGTCAATGGGGAAGCAGGTAGAAGGTCACAAGTGGTGACCATGTGACATCCTTGCTTAATGTTCAAGAGTGATTCATTCAGCCAGAAGTGCCAGAACTTCTGTCACTAGGCTGCATGGTCATGTGACATTGTGCTTTTTTGACCACATAACTTAGCGACAGAAATTCCAGTGCTTATTGCTGTCATTAAACAAGGACTAACTCTATACCCAATGTCAACAGAGAGTATTTAGTCCATACATCCTGAAGTCTCTCTAGTTTAACAAAATAGGAATGTGCTAAAATAATCTTGCTCGGTTAGTTCCAAAAATTTTCAGCCACTTCATTTATTCTAGGTTGTATAGACTTGAGGATTCAGTATGTGCTTTTTTTCTACAAAAACCTAGTACTTACCAAGTAGAGTTTTATGAATAGTTAAAATAAAAACATTCTAAACCCAAGAATTTATCTGAGCACTAAAAAAAATGCGATCATACATTTAAAAAAGTACTCCTGACTACCCCAAACTTTCTTAAATTCAAAAATGCGGTTCAAGAAAGAAAATATTTTTTTTATAGTTGCTGTGTTTTGCATTGCTAGAAATCAGAAATTCTTGGTAGTGTAATCCTACATCCATAAATCATTTATTTTTATATCC